TAGGAAAAATTAAGGAAATATACCTTAAATTGTGCATGTATGTACTATTACTTTGCTGCACGATTATAATCTACAGCAGTAAAATAAAATAATGAAATTAAACAATTTTACATTTTACCATCCTGGATTTATTAAATAAACAAATAAATAAATTTCACCTTTACCTTAAAAATAATTTAAATTAATGAATTAATTAATTAGGTTAAAACAATGTAAAAAAAAAATAAAAAACTCAGTGTTAAACAAGAATTTCTAAAGAGAAAGACTGATGTAGTATTTTCATGTAAAACATACTACAATAATCTTTTTGTAGTTACAACTTCTTCTTTTTTTTTTTCTTGATAGATGCAAATAATTGCATGCATCAATAAAATCCCTAAATAAAGATTCAGAATGCAAAGACATTATTGGCATAACAAAAAGTGGCCTTAGATATATAGTGATATATTTTAGTGATCCATTTAGATATAAAGATAACACACATATACTCAATACATAGGGATATTCAGATCCCAAACTTCGAATAGCTGGGGGGCTGGTTTATGTTGGAGCATTATAGCTTTTTATTTCTAAGCTGATTAATTATTCGTTAAGCCTTCAACGTAATGAATTTGTTGGAGCCGGTTGGAGCAAATGGACATGTAGCTGCACTTCCCAAACGTATGAGCAAATGATATGTGTGAGATGTAATGCACACCAGTGATTCACAGGGAATCATCAGCACTAAAGACCAGTGTGGGGTCAGATATCTCCAGCAGGATGAACTACAGACACAGAAGAAAAGCTTACATGCACAATGAATGCTGCAACCTGTTAACACACCGCTTACATGATCAGCATGTCAGAAAACACATGCATCGCCTTCTCTTGCATCACAATTCAGTTTTCATTTAATGCATTAATAAACATGTTGCCTATTATATATCCTAATTTTGCACTTAGAATGAACAATTATTTAGATGTAATACTAACTAACATTGAATGGAATGATCAGATTAATGAATCTCTGAGCGTCATTAACCAACATTCCTTTGGGAGTCATATAGATATGAAGCCACTGAAGCTATTAGCTATAATGGACATGTATTCCGAGAGCATTTACAATTACAATGTTTATGTTTCAAGTTTATTGCCGTTATTTGACTGTTCACATGAGCATCAGGATACATTTTAGTATGAATTTAGGGTGTAAACAACTACTTATGGGCTTTTTTTAGCCCATTTTAAGTCATTTTGATTCTGCTGAGCAGAGTCTGCTGATTGCAGTTGCAAAGAAATGTAATTGCACAGCTTTCCGTAATTGCACAAATTGAGCAGAATATTATGCATCATGGTTAATACTTAATATGAGCAAAATACACTGGATCTTGTGATTACAAGAAAAAAGGTTTTCTTTGGAAGCCTGTTTCCACCACAGGATTAAAAAAGTAAATAAGTCAATCAATAAATAAAATAAAACTGTGACTTCATCTCACAATTCTCACGCTTTTTGCACAATTCTGAAAAAGAAGAATTGCTAGATAAAAAAAAAAAAAACGTAGATGTTAGCGCTCAATTAGGAGTGTGCAATTCTGAGAAGAAGATAGATAGAGGATAGATAGAAGGGTTGCGAGATATAAACTCGAAACTGCAAGAAAGAGTTATAATTTATATCCTATAATTTATATCTATCTATCCCATAATTATAACTTTTTCTCAGAATTGAGTTTACATCTTATAACTTTTTTTCTCAGAATTGAGTTAATATCTTGCAATTCTGAGTTTATCTTACAATTCAGACTTTTTCTCAAAATTTTTGAGTTTATATCTCATAATTATGACATTTGTTCTGAGAATTTAGAGTTTCTCATAACTCATAATTGACTTTTTTTTCTCAGAATTTAGTTTAGGCTATATCTTGCCATTCTGAGTTTATATCTCATAATTATAATTAGTTTCAGAACTGAGTTTATATATTGCAATTCTAAGTTTATATCTCACAATTTTGACTTACCCCCAAAATTCTGAGTTTGTATCTCATATTTATTACATTTGTTTCTATCTTGTGACTTTTTCCTCAGAATTCTGAGTTTATATCTTGTCATTCTGATATTTTTCCTCAACATTCTGAGTTTATATCTCATAATTATGACATTTGTTCTTAGAATTCAGAGTTTCTATCTCATAATTGAATTTTTATATCTTGCAATTCTGAGTTTTTTCTCAGAATTGTGAGGGGGGAAAAATTCCAAATAAAATGGCGGCATTGCCTTTTTTAAATTTATTTATTTATTTATTTATCCTGTGGCAGAAACTGGCTTCCATAGTTTCCACTAGCCTATAGGTATAGATTCCCATATACTGATTCCCTTATGTTTGACTTATTAACTTCGTTGGTTGGTAAACTTCCTGTGGACGATACAAAAGAAAGACTAACAAAGAAAACAAAGATATTGGCCTATTTCATATTCGAACTTGTCCGCAACCCATTTGAAGTTCCTGTGTAATGTCATGATGTCATAACTGATGCCAATCTCAGACAAAGACAAGCCCACAACACCAACAGTGTTAAACTGAGCTTCTGAATCACCCACAGAATGACCAGGATGTGAGACATACACGCTTGCTTCCTCTTTACTCGCCTTCATTTGTGCTCATTGCTGTGGCTTTCTGACGGGTAAGGCAGCAGTATTTACTAGTGAGTCAGCACATGCCTGGGCAAAAGGGCAGCTTGAACACACACACACACACACTCACTCACTCATATATTATACTGACATTCACGCGGCTCCTCTGACGCCTCAGTGTTTGAAGTCATTCAGAAGTCATGCATTAATAAAACCCATTCAACATCCAAAAGAAACCTCATTCACAAAGGCTGGAAATCTGTCATCATGTATGTCACTTTCTACTCCAAAATCATTAGATTAAAAATAGGAAATTATATTTTGAAAGTAAAATAAAATGGAGCACTGTTTTCAGGACAATAAGCAAATTTTACCCTCAAATTTTTATTACTGAATCAGAATCAGCTTTATTGCCAGGTATGTATATACATACGAGTTATGTTAAATTATGACATTTGTTCTTAGAATTCAGAGTTTCTATCTCATAATTGAATTTTTATATCTTGCAATTCTGAGTTTTTTCTCAGAATTGTGAGGGGGAAAAAAATTCCAAATAAAATGGCGGCATTGCCTTTTTTTAATTAATTTATTTATTTATTTATTTATCCTGTGGCAGAAACTGGCTTCCATAGTTTCCACTAGCCTATAGGTATAGATTCCCATATACTGATTCCCTTATGTTTGACTTATTAACTTCGTTGGTTGGTAAACTTCCTGTGGACGATACAAAAGAAATTCTAACAAAGAAAACAAAGATATTGGCCTATTTCATATTCGAACTTGTCCGCAACCCATTTGAAGTTCCTGTGTAATGTCATGATGTCATAACTGATGCCAATCTCAGACAAAGACAAGCCCACAACACCAACAGTGTTAAACTGAGCTTCTGAATCACCCACAGAATGACCAGGATGTGAGACATACACGCTTGCTTCCTCTTTACTCGCCTTCATTTGTGCTCATTGCTGTGGCTTTCTGACGGGTAAGGCAGCAGTATTTACTAGTGAGTCAGCACATGCCTGGGCAAAAGGGCAGCTTGAACACACACACACACACACTCACTCACTCATATATTATACTCACATTCACGCGGCTCCTCTGACGCCTCAGTGTTTGAAGTCATTCAGAAGTCATGCATTAATAAAACCCATTCAACATCCAAAAGAAACCTCATTCACAAAGGCTGGAAATCTGTCATCATGTATGTCACTTTCTACTCCAAAATCATTAGATTAAAAATAGGAAATTATATTTTGAAAGTAAAATAAAATGGAGCACTGTTTTCAGGACAATAAGCAAATTTTACCCTCAAATTTTTATTACTGAATCAGAATCAGCTTTATTGCCAGGTATGTATATACATACGAGTTATGTTATACAAACATAATCTGTTTTGGTGAACAAATTCCTCATATGTGTAAACATACCTGGCAGTAAATGCAAAAAAAAAAAAAAAAACGTATTACTTGTAATGCATCCTGAGGTTTTACTTTTACTGTTCCATATATTTAAATTATGATTTTCATTAATGTAATACAGAATTTGTACTGTAGTTTCTTAAAACAATACTGTTGCACAATTACATTTTTTTATTTAAATCATCATAAATTAAAAGAAGTGCCACAAATAATACCATGATGTAAAAATAATAATTAATATAATTAATAATAAATGATTTTGTTTGTATTACAGTAATGAGATTGGGGGGCAAAATATGCAATATTATCATGAAAATAATGTTGCAGTGAGAAATATATAATAATGGTCCTATAAAATAGACAATTTTATTTATGCAAAAACTTTTTTTTTCTTTTGATTTTCATGGTCTGGTATCATCTTGACCATCCATTAAGTCATTTCTGTATCAAGTAAATAAAGTGAATGAAACAATTAACTTAATCATTGGGCAACTGTGATAAAAAAGCTTCTCGTATCATATTTCTGAAGACAGGTGCAAAATTTGTAGAAGGACTTCAGCTGCTGAGCAATGCAAGAAAAATAAATTGGTATATTTAGAGGTGACTTGATAATAGTGATCACGGCTGCCCGAACAGATGGAAAAACAAACCCTGAACCTCCTGAACCTCACCAGAGCTTGACTGTCCAAATGATGCCTTCATCATACATATCCTTAATGAAAGTGCTAACGAATCACTTCTTAAAAGTATTTCCCATGCAAGCACACCAGCATACACACAGAAGCTGTTCATTTGGCCTGTCTGGACTCTGTCCAGCTGTCCTGCGTGCAGAACTGGGCCCTTCAATATTTGCTGTTTGCCTGCCAAGATATTCTGCTGCAATGAATCAGAAGCGTTGACCAGCAGCAGGCTCGCTTTCAGGCCTAAAAAAAAAAGAATCAAGGCAAGATAAAGCAGCAGTAAACACAGTACTCACTTTCTCTTGTACTCATCCCGCTCCCGTTTGACTTTGGCCAGAACGTTATACAAGGCTCTCAGTTCTGGGGTGACGGTGTCGATTTGGACCCCGACCCCATCCGGATGGGTCCAGGTGACTCCGGGTCCCTGGACAGTCTTGACGTGCTCTCCTTGTCTCAAAATATGCGTAAAGCTCCAGATGGTGCCTGGAAGTCTGGACCCCAGAGAGTCCGTCTGGACCGCGACTTCACGCGTGAAGGAGAAGCCCTGATGCCTCGGCTGACCGGAGGCTTGCTTCAGCTGGCTCTCCAGAAGTTTGTTCCTTCTCTCCAGCTCATGGACTTTGGCGAGGAAGCAGCGGAACCTCAGGTTGAGGGTCTTGAGAACATGGATGTTGGATCCCAGGTCGTTGCGCAGCGCTCTGGGAACCGCGTCCGACGGCGCGCCGCTCACCACGCCGCCCAAAAAACCTTCTCCAAACAACAACGAGCTCATGTTTTCATACAAAAATAGATATCGGCGAGCTGTAACGACTTCGATTCAAAGCTGGTGCGTCCAAGCAGTCTTCTTCTCATGCGTACAAAAAGCCCCTAAGTATCATCGATTGATTAGAAACAAGCAGTGCGGTCATTATCTGTCTATCCTTCCAGGACACATCATGTTCTCCGTGAGAATAACGAGAGGAATAACGGAGGAGCGCAGCGTCCGTGTGTCAGCTCATTTCCGAAACTCCCGGACATCTGGAGATCTGCGCGTCATTTCGGTGATCGTGAACTCCACACTCTCTCACACTGATATTATTCTCACAGTCTCTTCTTCCGCTGGACTGTTTTATACCGGACGCTACCGGCGCGACGGGATCGAGTTTCATTCTCCTAAAAGAGGGAGATCCGCAGCGCACTCTCCGCCCCCGCCGCCAGCAGCAGCAGCGCCACACTAGATCTGCGCTTTCGGTGATCGTGAACTCCACACTCTCTCACACTTATATTATTCTCACAGTCTCTTCTTCCGCTGGACTGTTTTATACCGGACGCTACCGGCGCGACGGGATCGAGTTTCATTCTCCTAAAAGAGGGAGGGAGAACTACTTTACTAACTATCAATAAGCAGCAAATTAGGAGTTTGAGGCAAAAAACAGTTAATAGTTAGTTAATAGTCATAATTGGTCCCCAAATTAAATTAAAAATTATATATATACACACACAGAGAGAGAGAGAGAGAGATTTTCATTATTACTGGTTATTCTATTGCAGAACACACACCACACACACAGTGCACTATCCTTGTAGGGACTCTCCATAGGCGTAATGGTTTTTATACTGAACAAACTGTACAAACTGTAACCCTACACCAACCCTACACCTAAACCTACCCCTCACAGAAAACTTTCTG